AAATACATTCTATGAAAAAAGGAAGCTGGATATTTTAGAGTTAAATTTGGAAGAAATAGATTTAATGTAGATGGCACTCCTAGTGGCGGTTCTGACTTCTGGCCCATTTTGGGAAGTGTTAGCAATTTTATTGATAGTCAACCTTAAGTATTTATGGTGGGAATATATAATGGCCTTAGTAAACCAGAATCATACAATAATTATAACCCAGTCTGTTGGGAGGACACAAGATTCCAACGTTTCACAAAATTGATACACTTGAAACTGCCTTTGGAAATCATCTTTGGTTGCCATTTTAATGCCTAATTATTTTACTTCCGTTTTAATTCGTCTGGACTGCCGGCGCTTTGAATTTGGAGGTTAAGAAATAGCTTTCGGTGTTGTCTAGTTCTAATACAGTTACAATAAAGATGCGGTAAAGATATGCTCTATTTATGCGATAGAGATGCGGTATAGTTTAAATATAAATATAATAAATAACTAATAAAGGTAGAATGAAAAATACCGGTACAGATTTAGTAAATCTGCGGTAAAGGTTCACCATACAACTTTGGTAGATATACGGTATAGTTAAGACAAAGGATTATTTAAGATGCAATAAAGCTAGATATATAAAGTTAACAAGGTATATTTGCTATATAGTAGCAATAAAGGTTTCATCCGTACAGTTTACAATATAGACACGGTATAGGCGCCATAAATATACGGGCGATAACGACAAATATATACAGCATCTTTATCTATCTTTATCGAAGAAAAATATCTTTATCGAATGGTTATACATTATACAACTCGTGTTTTTTAAATAAGTGGCAATGAATAATCTTAGATTACTGAATATTTTGTACTTTTCCCCGGTTTGGCATAAGCGTCCAGAGCAAGATTTTGAACTTAAAATTTTGTGTCACCTGAGAAACATAGGTATTTGATAGGTTAGTGGCGCCCTAAACTGCGTACTCATCTGCGTTCCGTATCTGTATTTGTACCATGTATTGTAACATAAAGAGGAGCGGAGCAATAGTGTGGACGGTTCGTAGTTCGTAATAAGTAGGAGCACAAGATACTAAGTGTCAGTGTATCAATCAGCGTTGCGGTACTTATTCTGTAAACTTTGTACACACAAAGTTTACAGAATCCATAATCCCTCATCCATCCAGATCCATTCCATGATCACACGATCATGGAATGGAGTGAAAAAAAGTGTTTAGATAGAATCGAAGAGTACAAAAATACCCCAATTTTTGTGGGATCGGAAAAATAAAAACTCAAAGTTATAGCTAATCTGTCTTGCACTGAAATAGCTTTCCTAAATTTAGTATCTCTTTTTTGAATTCTTGGTCCCACTAGATTGATTAAATATTCAAAATCTGAAGGATGCATGCGCGTGAAATTTTTGTAATGTCCGCTGATTGATTAAAATTTCAAATCTGAAAGTAATGCAACGCCACTTCTTTCTTTGTACAATACATGTTTCCAAAATCTTCGTGGACGTTTATAATTTTCCACTATATCAATATCAATTTATCAATATATATTAAAATCCGATAGCTCCGTCTGCGTCGCACGATCGGCCCGAAATAGGGCCGATCCGCCGGACGAAAGGCTTTTTCCTGGGGCCGCGTAGCGGCCCCCGTCGTCATTCCCGCGTTGCGACGTCGTATTTAGAACGCGCTAACTCGACGCCTTCCCCATGAATTTTCCGAATTCCCCAGGTTCTGCGAGGGGCGTGGCCCAATTTTTGTGTGAAAAGCAATAGTCCGACACTCCCTCCCGCTGAAATCTGACGGTCGCCGATCGCCTCGAATCGCGGTTTTTTATTTTTTATTTCCCCCATTTTCTACGATATTTTATTTAAAACCGTGCCGAAAATACTAATATTTATCGACCGGGTGCCTTCTTCCAAATTTTATGTACAACTTTCCGCGAAATCAAACGCGGGATTCGAAATGCGGCCGTAAATACGTTAAAATGCTCTGTCTAGGAAGGCCGAAAAATCTGAATTTTGCCCTATAAAATTCCTTCTCCGCGAGCCTCGAAACGGCGTGCGACTTGGCACAGATACTCAGTCGTTCCTCCTTAGTCGTTCGGGGGCATTTTTGTAACGTTTTTTTCGCGTTTTCATATTTAATTTTGCCTTCTTTTTGGGGTCTGCTCGACGACAGACGACCATTTCGCAAGCCGTAAGATTGAAGCTTTAAGACACGCCCACCGGGAGAAAATTGGAACGTCGTTAGAAACGTCAGATTAATTATGTCAAAATAATTTCACGCCAAACGCGAAAGACGTCTGTGGGGTCGCGGCGAACCGTTATTTTACCTTACTAGGCCTTTTTTAACCTTGATACATTGCTACGCCACGACATATACAGGTATTTCTTATTATTAGGTTAGGTTGTTATTTACATTTTCGTAGCTCTACCGTCTGACATGCCTACGATTAGGATACCTGTCGCCCGAATTAACGTAAGTACTTGCCCTCTAAAATTGCATAATTTTAAACTAATCCATAGTACCTAAACCCTTTCTATTAGTACATTTGCTTCGTTAGTTACCTACTATACATTGCATTGCATTAGTATTACTTACTCCCCAAACATCAAAAGTTGCGAAAAATTATAGAAATAAATTGGGGCTAAACTACTCTTCCGAGTCATGGGATGTTATTTATCTGTTTTATCCCATTGTGGATCTTTTGCGAGACGACTTTGTGTTAGAAAAATGCAAATTTAACATTACAAAAATTTTTAATTACTTCAGCTGTGAATGAAAATTAAAATATCAATATAGACGGATCGTTGGAGAAGCAGTCGATAGCGCATTGGTAAAAACGGCCCGTTGTATTCGTTAGGTCGGGGTTCAATCTCAGACGAGGTAACCTAACATTTTTTTTTTATTTAATGCCGCAATTTAATTTTATATATGGACTCATCTTTTTAAACCATTCTGTAACAAAAAAATACAAAATTTCAAATAGGTTTCCATATACAGGGCATCTAAAAAATTGCGTTAAAACTCGAACAGTCCAGAGGCTCATATACCTATTTCAGTTTATTGATTGCAATATTTTTATGAAAAATCTGATATCGTAGTAATCATATGCTTTCTACAAAGGTATGTACCGAATGTTTCATAAAAATGACACAGGTGAACTTTGATTTTACTTATCTCTTCACTGTTTCTAATTTTTTTTTTTAAATCTTTTCATGAAAAGTTATATAGTTGCTAACCAAAGGGTTTTTTTGAAAATCCATATACTGCATGTTCTACATAACTGACCCAAGTCAAAATTATCGGTCTAGAGACTTCTGTATATTTCAGAAATTTATTGTCGCAATATTTTTATAAAAAATCTTATATTGTAGAACTCAGAGTCATTTTGCAAATTTATATACTGAGTGTTTCATAAAAATGACACAGGCGGACTAGGATTTTTTTCTCATTTCACTACCTACCTAAATTTTCAAATAGATATTTCTACACACGGTGTCAAATGTTTCTTGCAATTTATGTACAGGATGTTTCATAAAACTGACACAGATGGACCAGATTTTCTCTGATTCATTTTGTTAATTTTTTCATGAAATCTTTTGAAGTTGTATATTTACTGACCAGCCGCTTTTTAGAAAATCCATATATGTACTGGGTGTTCCATAAAATTGATCCATATCTGAAACGGTCAATTTTTATCCTTTTCACTTTTAACTTTGTCTTTATTTACTAAAGTCTTTTAATGAAAAATTGTATACTTATTAACCAGTTGTCTTTTTGAATTTTTATACTGAGTATTTATGACCAATAGAACGAAACTTTCCTTAATGTTTTTTCCTTTTCTATATTTTGTACTGAAGTCTGCAATATTTTTATGAAAAACCCGACTAACCAGGTGTTTCTTGCAATTTATGTACAGGATGTTCCATAAAACTGACACAGGTGTACCAGATTTTCCCTTATTCATTTTGTTAATTTTTTCTTTAAATCTTTTGAAGAAAAGTCGCTTTTTTAAAAATCCATATACTAGAATTGGTGTTCTATAGAATTAAGGGCAGTTTTATTTCTTTTCACTTTTAGCTTTGTCTATTTACTACAGTCTTTTAATGAAAATTTGTATATTTATCAAGCAGATGTCTTAATTTATTTTTTTTACCATTTCTGTCTTACCTACGTAGTCTTTGGATGAAAAATTTTATATTTACTAACCAGATGCCTTTTTGGAAGTTTGGAACAAACTTTTCTTATTCTTTTCTCGAACGGGGCCTACTCTTTTTTGATAAACATTCTCCTCATACTTTTATATACAGGGCGTTTAAAAATCAAAGTACAGGGTGTTTCAAAAAATATTATATCTACTAACCAGTGAGGAAAGCACCGCGGAGCGGTGCTCGGGCCGCGCGCAGCGCGGCTCGAGGGCCGAAGGCCCGAGAGAAAGGTCAAACTCCGCGTCAGCGGAGTTTGCCTGCCTCTCTAGTTATGTATTAATATATGTACAAACAGCACTTGTTATCATAATAGATTCGTCTGGATATGAGGTTTTTACGACGAACGTTCTTCGAACACTGCGAATAAAAATGGTCATCGTAGTACGATACATGCCTAGCGTACACATTATGAGCCGATACTGTATCGCAGCAAAACATGTTACAAATACAGATACGGAACGCAGATGAGTAACCGGCTTAACGCCTTCAATTACCTTTACAGTTCTAAATACTGTACGACCAGCTGCAACTGTGTGCTAGTCGACGTTTCTGCCACAACATCTTTAGGGCGCAACACCAACGGAAAGAGGCATGTTTATTTCATTTATAACTTTAATTAGGTTTAACCAACAAATTGCTTTTTTTGAGACTTTTAGATCTAATGGCGTCGAATGTACTGCCCCTTGGCCGCGGATGACCTAACAATAAGACGGACCCCCTTGTCCTATTATACTATATATCTAATGATGAAGAAACAACTGCTAAAGGATATGTATACCTTTAGTAATTATTTTTTCCCACTTACCTTGAATATTAAAAAGTAACTTTGCCCACGTCGACAGAACAATAAGAGATACGACGTCACCAATGCTAGCTGCCATCGGCGTAGCCAAATTGTCAGGGTTTAGTTTTATTTTGTGGGATATGATTATTAAGGTGATTAGAACGATATCTGAAAAACAGGACTGTAATGAAAAGCAGAGTTGCTGGTAGATATTTAGTTACCTAAGAAAAAACATGATAGCGTTGCCGTTAAGACGCTTGATGTTGCTAGCAACAACGCGTGGATCCATCGGAAATTCCCATTAATCAACGCTGACGCCCCTACTGCGAAAACAGCAACAAGACATGACGCCACGATTGCTTGAATCTAAAAGCATCATGTAAAATAATTATTTCTGGCAACAAATGTGTTAAATAGCAAGAGCAGTAGGTAATTTATCCCACGTCCCTTAAAGGAATAAGGTACACTAGGTTGCATACAATATTTTCCCTATTACCAGGAAATATCGTAATTCACGTGCAGTTATTTAAAATACCATGTTTTTTGGGTATGTTATGCCAGATCTAAGTCTGTGTTGTCTGTAACAGGCAGCAACTGATACATAGGCCACGGCATAACAACCCGAAACAAGGTATTTTAAAGAATATCTGAATTAAATTAAAAACAATCTATTTCATGCACTAGTGTACTAGTTGGCAATTTGAAAGGCAGGGACGGGCTAGGTGATATTGCACGTTGGTATTGTCAACTAAAAATCACAAACCTTAGCGTCATTAATATTCATGATTTATTTACAATGAACAATGACAAACCGTTGCATCTACGCTCGAGATAATGCGATCACCGATTGGATGAGAAATTACACCAATCACCAGCCAGTGGAACAGAATTTTGTATTCTAACGTAAAATTGATCTTATTCTTTCAATAACTTTTAATTTTACCGAAACTGAATTATCAACATGAAGGAAATAAAATTACTGATTCAAACAAAATTACTGTTCACGTGGCTTGTAATGATCCATCCGTTTGGTAAAAATATTTAGATTTTAAGTACTGTATAACATGCGTAACATTAATATTTTACACACAGCAATACGTAGAATAACTATACCGGCTGTTACAAAGTATCTTCTCACTACAGGGATCTCAGAAACGGTAAGAGATACGAAGTAACTTAAATGGGGGCAAAGCTGCGTAATCAGGAGAACAACATAATGTCTCTAAAAATCAAGGCTAACATGATTAGTTTTCGAAAAATTTGAAAAAAAAAAAACGAAATCTTGGAAATCCGTTTTTGTTTCATTTCAACCCTCTTTGAGGTGATATTGAAAAAATAGAAACATTTTCTCATGGCAACTTTTTGCCCTCTATCGAATGGCATAATCAATTTTTATATGTAACGTTTCGTCTCTCCAGGACCATCATCAACTTCATTTTTTTTAATTATTTATTACATTTTTTACAAGCCTTCATGACCCCCAATACTATACTGCCTCAGCCCAAACCAGATTCAGACGTTTTGTCTCGAAAAATTCTTTTTCAATGTATTCGTTCCAAATTTATCTAATTTTTTTTTAGATTTTTATGTTTATTGAATTATTATACACTCTAAGTGTCGTTAGACCCTGTGATATCCACCTAGTTATTTAAACTATTACCATCACACGTTACAATAACATATTATTAGAGTTTTAATTCCGTACTCATATTTATTTCTAGGTTTCTCGAGTGCTCAAAATTCAAACAAATTTCGATCAAATTTTTTTCAAGATATTCATACTAATACATCTGATATGCTCTTTCACAGTCGCGGTTACAAGTATAATAAATTCCGATCATATTATGCTTATCTCCATTTTCAACATTTGCTAAAACGGAAACGTTTTTGAACATTTAGTCACTGTAACCTTTTAAAGTATAATATTCATTTGGAGTTTTGGTTGTTCATATGCATTTTTAAGAATTAATTTGTCATAATATATAATAATAATAATAATAAATTGTCTTTATTTCCAAACAAGAAAAATTTAATACATAGTGTCAATAAATAGGGCGAAGTGGCAGTTTAACTGCTTTTCAACTTAACCCTAATAAATAAAAGAAAGTAAATTTAAATACAATGAAATGTGAATAGAAGAGCGTACATAATAAATTCTATTAGATCTTAATAAGTATTCTGCTGGAAAAAATGAAAGTATACACTGAAAGAGCCATTGGGAAGTACCAGAACGCTTTTTATACTAAACAGTTAGTCGAGAAATTGTATTGAACTACATCTTCATCGATTTCAATTAATTAATGATATGAGAAATTTGGAATACCTACCTAAAAAAATATTAGAGTAACGACCATGACAATGAAGGGCTCAAAGGCAGCGGTTACAACACAAGAAGAAATTGAAATAAATAAGGAAGTAAAACAAAGGGAATGGACTATCTGCAACATTATTTAACATGGCGCTAGAAGGAATTATCACAAGTTCAATCGTAGCGTTAATATCTAAAAACAAGACAATTAGGCTAGTCATTATAGGTTTTTTTCGGGAAAAAAATACTATTAGAAGTTTCTCTGCGGAATATTGTTCAGAAACGTGTTATAAACAAAATATCAAAAAATCAACTCGAGACTAGTTGGGAAACTTTGTTAAAACAATGGTCAAAGTTATGGAATAGTGGTTTTTTGACTCGCGTAAAAAAACTGTTATTCATAGAGAAAAAAGGTTTATACAAAAAAGGTAGGTATTAAATAAATCTATAAAATAAGACAAGTCCGATTAAGTTCCAATAATTTGTTTATGTGCAAGAGCTCAGAAATAGTCGAAAATGTCCCCTTTTTTCAATTGCTAATAATTAATGCAATTTTCATCGCAGACACTTATAATTCAGGATTTTTGAGGCATTTTGCACCCTTAATAAGTGGTAAAAATTTCAGCCCGAAAGCTTCATTAGTTTGGCGTTGGCGGAATTTGTTATCTAAGAAGATGCTTTTTTCAATTCATTTTTCCCAAGCTCACAGGCGTTGTAGAGTTTCGATCATTAGTTGTTTTTGTACCTAAATAGTTGTATTGACATATGCATTTACTGACAATTTAATTTTTCAAATTTAATTAGTTTAAAAATTACTTTGAAAAAATGTTAAATTGTTAACTTAGGTAATTATTATAAAATAAAATAGTAACCTCTATACTAGTTTAGTTAGTACTATTTTTCTTCGAATTTAAAAAAAATCGTTGTTCTAAGTTGATTAGAAGCTGAGATATTTTTTTTTTATTTAATTGCAGTGACCTAAATTATTAATATTAAGAGCCGACATTTGTAGAGAGTATACATTAAGAGCTATATTTTCATGTCCTACATTAACATTAAGGTGAATTCAACTATTTCATTGCAAATAAGAAGATAGCGGCGATGCGTTCTATTACTCGGTCTAGCGAACGAGTGGGAAGAGCAAGGCGGAGCATGCGCGCTTAACAATTTAATAAATATTAACATTTTTTCAGTCATTTTTAAACAAATTAAATTTGAAAAATTAAATTATCAGTAAATGCATATGTTAATACAATTATTTAGGTACAAAAACAACTAATGATCGAAACTCTACAACGCCTGCGAGCTTGGGAAAAATGAATTGAAAATAGCATCTTCTTAGATAATAAATTCCGCCAACGCCAAACCAATGAAGCTTTCGGGCTGAAATTTTTACCACTTATTAAGGGTATAAAAAGCCTAAAAAATCCTGAATTACAAGTGTCTGCGATGAAAATTGCATTAATTATTAGCAATTGAAAAAAACGGCCATTTTCGACCATTTTTGAGCTCTTGCGCATAAACAAATTATCGGAATTTAATCGGACTTGTCTCATTTTATAGGCTTATTTAATACCTACCTTTTTTGTATAAACTTTTTTTTCGCTATCAATAATAGTTTTTTTACGCCAGTCAAAAAACCACTTTTCCATAACTTTGACCATTGTTTTAACAAAGTTTCCCAACTAGTCTCGAGTTGATTTTTTTGTATTTTGTTTATAACAGGTTTCCGAACAATACTCCGCAAAAAAACTTTTACTAATAGTATTTTTTTCCCGAAACAGGCTGTTTCATGTCTATAATGACTGGGCTAAATACTTACACAACAGCAGAAGAATATAACAAAGGCTAGAAAAAAAACAGAGATAAATATAAATGTAAAACAAGTGAGAGTGATAAAACTATAGAATTGAAGAGTATATAATTTTAAGTACCTATATGGAAAGTATTATAAATGATCCAAATAAAACGTAAATCAGTTATAAGACCAATGGTGACATACGCTGCCGAATCGATGTATTTAATAAAGAAATAAACATAAATAAAGAAAAAGGTAATAGATGTACCATAATACACTAGAGTGAGAAATTATAACAGAATAAAGTCGATGAGAATAAGATGGTACAGACACGTGAATAGAATGCAGAGCCGTTCAGTGATTAGAAGCCAATGGTACATCGAGCATGAGCTATTTACGACCCGAAACGCTTGAACGAGAGATTACAGCAATTGCGCTCTGCTTTTAGAGGGAATGGATACACAAATAGGAATATCGAACAAGCCATCAAGGCACCTAAGGACAAAGAAAAATATCGGCCAACTCCCTATATACAGGCTGACTACTATAAGAGGGCCACTCCTATGTATCTCGCTTAATATACGACGCACGTCAAAAATCTTTATATGTTTCTTGTTGCATTTTTTAAGGTCTTTATGCTCGTAGAAACAAATTTGAGATCCATTGCCTACTTTGTGAGTAAACATAAAAAACCCGGAAAAGTACCGAAAGTTTAGGGTCGTTTAACTTTTTTATTTTAAGACATAAAGAAAACTTATTTTAATAAAATTTCATGGCAAAATTGATATCTTTCACCTGGTTAAACAGATATTTGAACTATCGTATGTAAATTGCTGCGCCCTCTACACGGGCAAAAGAAAATTGTCATCGAAGTAGGCTGTGGCCACAAAAAATTCCTTGTTTTTTCTTCTTTAATGCGATATACTACATGTCCCATTTATCTTTTATATTTATTACATTTTTTATAATTTTGATGTAAAAAATATAAACATTTTCGTGATGTTTAAGTTAATGTTTTCAACACGTCAAATATAAAGAAAAATAATAAATATAATGTACTTCTTTTAAGCAAAATACAAAGTTTCTTATTACATTATAATAGTATTGATTTTTACATTAGAGAGAACTGAGCCTTAAACATTGTTTTTGCACGGATAAAGCAGCTTACACTAAGTGTAGCAAGCTATGACCAGTAATGTCAACATTTGACAAATTGTTTATTGTTGTCATCTGTTGGTTTGAAAATTGCTACAGTTCATTTAATTGTGATTTAAAAAACTATAATTTTCAATAAAAATGGTATTTTCAAATATTGAGAAGTATAATATGTTTGTGTTGTATTGTCAATACAATTTCAATTCTGCCCAAGCACTGGCGGAATATAGAAATAGATTCCCAAATGCCACCCAACCCAACAGAAGAACTTTTTCAAAATTACGAGAAAACCTTTGAAGATATGGATTTTTTAAGGACAGGGGAATAAAATCAGCTAATGCTGTTACTAACATAGGTAATGCTAACAGAATTTTAAATTATGTGAATAGGAAAAATGAACAAAACACTGATACATCTTTGAGATAAATTGAAGTAACCTGCAATGTAAAGAAGGATAGTGCAAGAAGGATATTGCGAAAAAATGGTTTAAGATGTTATAAGGTGAAAAAATTGCATCACTTGAAAGAGGCAGATAAACCGAGGAGATTAAGATTCTGTAGGTGGTTACAAGAATGAAGGAGGGAAGATCCTTTTATATGCAGATGAATTCTGTGGTCAGATGAGTCAAACTTATCTAATAATGGATTTTTTAATAGAAACATTCACTTCAAATGGACTAATGGTAATTTACATTGGCACAGAGAAACCGCATTTCAACAGAGGTTTTCAATAAACCTTTGGGTAGGAATTCTTGATACCAAAATCATAGGACATTACTTCTATGATGGTAAACTGACGGGTGCCAGATATTGCAGATTCTTGGAAAATGAATTTAGCGGGTTGTTAGATGATTTGCCACTCGAAAATAGACAAAACTTTATTTATTTTCAGCAAGATGGAGCACCGCCACATTCGGAAATTGCTCCCAATTACCTTAATGAACAATTTCCAGGACGCTGGTTGGGTACACATGGACCCATTGAATGGCCAGCCCGTTCCCCGGATTTGTCACCCCTTGACTTTTTCTTTTGGAGTTATATAAAGGATAAAGTCTTCCATACTATACCAGAAACTGTGGAAGATCTAAAGTTAAAAATAAGAGAAGCTTGTGCCACGGTGCCTCCTGAAATTCTAAGAAACGTAATAAATGCTGTACCAAGGAGGGTCTGACTATGCGTCAGAAATCGAGGTGGCCTGTTTGAGCATCTTACTTAAATTATTATTATTTGTCTGTGTTAGTTATACTAGTATTAGCTGTTAAATTAAATATTTTTGAATTTTTTAGTTTTAAGATTACCTTTTCTGATCTAAATTTAAATAAAAATTGTTTATAATTTAGCACTACTTATTTTTACTATTGAACTAATAACAATTGAATCAATTAAATTAATGTTTTGAGAATTTAGAGCACCTCAATTCAAACGTAAAATGTAGGTACCTTGTTATCGCTATCGAAAATATCAATGCATAAATATGTACCAGTTTTTTTTATAATAATTAATATTCTTATAAAAATATTCTTTGTTACAAAATTAAATTCGTCTGATCAGGAATGTCGCATTATAAGAGGCACTTTTTTCTCTGTAACTACTTACAGAATTTAGAGCTTTCCCTTTCCTCAATGACACTTTTTTAATTTATAACACCTTCAAAATGATAGTTTTTCAAATAACAATTTTCAAGCCAACAGTTACGTATAACAATAAACAGTTTGCCAAATGATGACATTACTGGGGTAATAGGGGTAACACATTTGTTTTTACAGCTTGCGACATTTAGCGTAAGCTACTTTCTCTGTGAAAGAACAATGTTGAAGGCTTAATTCTCTCTAATGCAAAAACCAATACTATAGTAAAGTAATAAGAAAATCTGTATTTTGCTTAAAAGAAATACATTATATTTATTAATTTTTTTGTAGTTATTATGTTTAAAACAAATTTCTACATTAACATAAGCAATACGAACATTTTTATATTTTTTTATATCAAAATTATAAAAAATGTAATAAATATTAAAGATGAAGGCGACATGTAGTATATCGCAGGAAAGAGGAAGAAACAAGCAATTTTTTTGTAGCCATAGCCTACTTCGATGACAATTTTTTTTTGCCAGTGTAGAGGGCGCAGCAATTTACATACGATAGTTCAAAAATCTGTTTACACCAGGTGAAAGATATCAATTTTGCCATGAAATTTTATTAAAATAAGTTTTCTTTATCTCCTAAAATAAAAAAGTTAAACGACCCTAAACTTTCGGTACTTTTCCGGTTTTTTTATGTTTACTCACAAAGTAGGCCATGGATCTCAAATTTGTTTCTACGAGCATAAAGACCTTAAAAAATGCAACAAAAAACATATAAAGATTTTTAACGTGCGTCGTATATTAAGCGAGATACACAGGAGTGGCCCTCTTACAGTAGACAGCCTGTATAAGAATGCACTGACAAGAAGGAAGTATTTTAAACACATATTGTCAGGAAGATAGGGACAGCCTTTTCCAAACTTTAGGGGGTTATAGAGGACATTGCGGAAGACAATTTTTGTATATAAACCCCTAGTTGGAAATGAGTTGTTTTGTCCCTGGAGAAAAGGCTTCGTTATTTAAATAATTGTTCAAAACAGCTTGTGGTAGGTTAGTCTTTAGTTCGATGCAAAACCTCTTCCTCAAAGACCTCTGTCCGTATTTCATGGATGTCAATTTCCTACATCTGGTTTAAAGCTGATTTTTTCTCTTAACCGACGATGGATTGACGAAAATGTTCGGCAAGAATGTCGGCGATTCGAAAAGTGCTCAGCTTCTATAACGTTGCATCTTGCCTCCCCATAAATAAGATGCATATCTGCAGACTCTTCGAACGTAAATATATCCATTTCAATAACTTAGAATTAGAAGCAAAATTTCGTCCCAAACAAAACAAATGTGAAACACTCAATTAGGTCCGATCATTTGTTACGTGAGAATTCTGTTCATTTGTTTCACTATTCCTCACAGCGTGATACAGATGACATTGCATGGCTAGATTAGATGAGTATAGAGCTTTTATCACACAGTTGAGGATAAAATCAATGTTTACCAACATCGTGTATGGGACATGCATTTGGTAAACACTTATCAGAAGAAATAAGATCAGAAGATTATTTTGTTTTAAAATTAGTTAAATATCAGTCTTTTGGTGTCGAGATAACATTACGATTTTGGACAAAAATTGCTCCAGGCCCAAAACGGTTCATTTGTACATATGCAAAAATTTTCTACCACAATGTCCTCTATATCCCCCTCAAATTTGGTAAAACCTTTTTCAAACACTCTGTATTTGCGAAAAAGAAAACATTGGACAAACAGGGTGTCACTTGAGGTATAACGTAACATATGCAAACATAGGGCAGATATAGGACACGTGATAGATGTAATTAATACCAGGTTTCTGGCGAGAGAGGTGTATTTTGATCAAAGTTTTCTAGGAAGGTAATAAAAATCCAAAAGGATCGATATATTTTATATGAAAAAAATGGTCAAAACTATCTGAAATTTGGAAATGATTCATTAAAAAAAATCAAGGACCAGAACGATACGGAACTACACGCCCTGGACCTTCGCAACACACACGCTCGCACGCACGCAGATTGTAGAAAACAACTAGATCACATAAAAATCTATGAGGGTGTCCCTACTAAAAAAATGTCATCCCCTAAAATTTATCACTCAATCTTTTTTGCCAGTGAAGTTACAGGAAAAATAATATTAATATATGAACATTTTAACACCCTGTATCTCCGTAGGGAAGCGTCCTATAAAAATTTTTTATGGGGCAAAACTTGATTATTTTCAACGGTAGAAGACGCTACTAAAGTTTGGCTAAACTTATCATTTACACCCTGTATACCTCCAATAGTTCTTAAATTAATTTGCTTTATAGTTCAAATCTTACTTAAACATTCGACATTTGTCTAGTGTACCATTTTTTTCTCAAAATTGATTACATTCTAATTGTTTTTATTTTTCTAAATTGTCCATTTGTGAAGGAAAATCTGTTTACATAATATTCACTTCACGGTGCGCACAAAATGGATATTATTTTTAATGTTATCAACATCAAAATTTCCAAAATGCAAAATTAGTTTCTGTGGTATTCCATACATGGAAATTAAAAACGCTACAAATTTATGCGTTTTCCTAAGTAAAACTGTTATGAATTTAACAAACTATAAACAAAATATTTTAACCTTAGAAATATTACCTGTACTAAAATAATGTTTCCAATTATCATTTTCAAGATTTCCTTTTTACTGTGCATGTTTCCCAAGTTAGCTTGAGTTGACAGTCTCGAAGCGAGACACATGTCCAGATTACCTTTTAAACCGAGAAGAGCCGGGACCAGGATCAAGAGAGCGTTGATTTCCTTGAACACCTTGTATTCCTGAAAAATGCGGAAAATTAATTTGCGGTGAAATAGGCAAAGAATTAAAATTAACTTTAAACCGATAAACTGTAACAGATTACCCCTGAACATTTTAGAAGCGATACCAAACTTATTTTTTCCATTCTAAAAATTATGTACCTATTTTTGTATTTATTAATTTTTTCATGGGTCCTCATTTCTTATATAAATATTTTAAGTTAGATATAATTTCAAGTCCTTTACAAGGTCTGTTCAGAAAATAACCGAACTTTTTGAATTACGCACTAATGCAGATATTTATGAATATGCGGTTGGCAGTATAGCGTTGCGCATAACTTCTTTTGTAACCACATGTTCTTGATTGTTAATTTAATTTTCATGATAATTCTATTTCGGAACGTGTTTAAGTGTTGGTAACTATTTTTGAAATGAGCGATTTTCTGAAACAACGATGTAACATAAAATTGTGCGTGAAATTGGGTAAACCCTTCACGGAAACGTTTCAGGTTTTGAAACAAGCTTACAGAGATGATGATTTGGACCGTACGCAATGTTACGAATGGTTTTCACGATTTAAAAGTAGTCGTCATTCAATTGAAGATGATCCTCGACCAGAAAGGCCTTCAACTTCAACTGATGACTCCCACGTTCAAAAAGTCAAAAATCTGGTGGGTGCAAACCGTCGATTGACTGCCAGAGAAGTTGCAGAAGAGGTTAGCGACTCAATTGGTTCATGCCATGAATTTTTAACTGAAGAGTTGAATATGCCTCGAGTTGCAGGCTACAACATTGAGACAAAAGTTCAATAATCGCAATGGATTGGCAAAGGATGTTCACGTCCCAAGAAAGCACGTCAGTCTCGTTCCAATGTCAAAGTGATGCTCACTGTTTTTTCGACTTTAATGGAATTGTGCATTTTGAATTCTTGCCTCAAGGTGAGTGTACTATCAAGTCATTTTACAACGGTTACGTGAAAAAATTTGCAAAAATCAGATTACTGTCCTCCCTCACCCTCCTTACTCGCCGGACCTGGCTCATTGCGATTTTTTCTTTCGAAATTAAAATCAGTGCTGAAGGGACGCCGTTTTCAGACTATTAAATATGTCAAAGCAAAATTTTTCACTGACTTTAAAGGCCATTTCAAATGAATTTATCAGGACTGCATCGCAAAATAGAAACACCGGTGGGAAAATTGTGTGAAGAGGGGAGGGGAGTATTTTGAAGGAGACAAGGACCAATAATGTATAAAATAAATAATAAAGTATGAAAAATAAAGTTCAGTTATCTTCTGAACGGATCTCGTATTTATCTATTCACCCTCTTAAATAATAAATATAGATTATCTTAAAAAAAAACTGTAAATCACCTAAAACAGACATAATTGGTCTACGTTCATGCTCTCATCAATATATAATTTATAATTGTAATATTAACATAACAAAAAGTTAAATCCATCCTTTTGTTCAAAGATAACTTTTTGATCCCTTTTTATTACTAAGACCCAGATGTGTATACTCCATTATGTGTTATCTCATGAGTGGGTACTCTACAGTTTGTAAGATGGAGAGAGATATGTCATCAATTATCAATGCTTCATACAAAAATAAACCGTACACTAAAGAAGGTAGTGATCGTACCCAATCCACATATTCGTAATATTCATATGAACTGCAATCATAAGTTTTATGTAATCTGATTTTTTGGAATCGTCCATTAGAAGAAACACACTGCGTAAAATTTGATTTTTATACATGTCATGTAAAAATTCCTGATAATTGATTACATCACTCGTGATTTTACTGATTTTAAAATTCACCTCCAGTGTCATTAGACTACTTTTTACTATTACGCAGTTAGTAGATAAGATTGATACTTATATGTATTACTTCCACAATTAAACGTATTGCTGTACACAATAGTACAGAATTAATTAATTAGATTTTACATGATTTTGTTTTACCAATGTTGTGGTCATAAAACATGTTTTAAATTTATTGCATAATATAAACCGTAATATATTATGTTAATCTTCACTTTACTTTTTGTAAACAAGTTCTTTGATTTTGTATATTGTATATAGCACAAGGTAGGTAAACACACACAAATTTATTTCAATTCATTTAAAAATTATGAATGATAACTTAAAGACTCAGGAAAAATTTTTTTTAGTGTAAGCCTTTGCAAAGATTTCCTCTCACCTCATAGGTACATCCATATGGTCCAATATTATCTTGACATGTAATACGCTGTGAAATTAATCATTTACTTGGACAATTTTTTTATGGTTTTGTTGTACTTACTATACTTTAATTGTCTAGATATTTTGCCACTAAATTGAAATAAAAACATAAAATATAGTCATTTTCCTAACAAGTGCGCAGTGTTATTTTTCCGCATACAAATAGAGTTAGACGAACGACGCGAAGCGGAGGAACAAAATTTTTCCTACGAGCTTCATATCAGATAACAAAAATAAAAAAATGATAATTTATTCAATAATTTTTAATTAAAGTTGAAAGAAAGAACTATACAACAAAAAATTACGTAACAATAAAAAATAATAGTAGAAAACTAAATTATTTGTTCATAATATTTATAACAAAAGAACAATTATTGACATTTTGCAAGTTGATTGCAGATCCGGTTAGTTCAATTAATGGGTGGCTTATGGTACGGCTTGATGAGTGCTGACTTAGCGCGAAAGGGCAGTTAATATTATGGCTTGATGAAGGTTGATTTAACGCAGAAAGACAGTAGTTGTTGACATGGCATGATGAAGGTTGACTTAACTCAGAAGAGGGGCTGTTCGTATGGTTTGATGAAGTTGACTTAATGCAGAAGGGCCAGGGTTTGTGGCCAATATTTTATTCGACATATCCTTTTTTTTATTTGTCGAATCATGTAGCTTTAGGCGACAGTCGTCGACATTTTAGTGATTCCTGCTCCAGAATCGGACAACATGGTAGCCGAGAAACGACGGAAACTGTGTCCTGTATACTGCTTGTCAATTGTAGATATGCAGCTATCTCCGAAGGCATTTTACCGAATGAATTTATTTCAACACATTGCCTCCTTGTCTATACTACACAAAAAAAACGTTTATGCGGAGTTTTCGTAAAGAACCCCGCACAAAATCAATGGAAAATGGGTCCCAGTCGATTTTGCTGAAATTGCAATATGTTATAGTTTTTGACTTTCCGATCAAAAGTTGTCATGGGCCCAAAGTGATCCTATGAATAGTTTCAGAGATAAAGAGGGGGGAAGTATGTGATTTTGGCTGTAGACCTGAGTAAGCTTCACGAAGTTTTAAGTTGATGGATTCAAAAACTGAGGCATGTAATGAATTTTGACCAGTAGGTACAATTTGGGATCGCTGAACCTGAATTCGGGGATAGCTTAGCTACCTAAGGTCATCTGTTGGTCAGGTAAAAGGTCGTTTCAAGGTCAAACTGAAGAAAAGACTTGTATTGAATTTTAACCAGTGAGTGTATGGGTTTTTGGGCTCGCAGAATCTGAATCTGGAAATAGCGTAATCCTAAAGGTCACCTTCAAGTCAATTCAAGGTCATTTCAAGATCAAACTAAAGAAAAGGCTTGTATTGAATTTCAACCAGTGCGTATATAAGTTTTTTTGGGGGGGAGGGCAGAATTCGGGGATAGCTTAGCCCTACAAGGTCATAATTAGGTCAAGTCAAAATCATTCCAAGGTCAAATTAAAGAAAGAAAAACCTAACCTGTAAGCATGCTTTTGAGGTTGCTGAACCTGAATTCGGGGAGAGCTTAGCCCTATAAGGTCACCTGGAAATCAAGTCAAGGTCATTTCATTTGACTTCATCTCAATACAAGCCCCGCAGGTGACCTTACTAAGCTATCCCCGAATTCAGATTTAGCGACCTCAAAAGCATACATACTTGCAAGTTCTTTTGCAATTTTCATAAGGGAAAATGCACACGTCAATGTGTTGGTATTAATAAGCTATCAAAAATGCCTGATGTTGCGCGATTTTTTGGCTTGACAGATTCTAATTTATATACAGGGCATGGCATGTGTTGCGCATCTGCAACTCTCTTGGCCAATGCTGGAGGGGTATTACAACACTCAAACGTCACGGTGGAAGAAGGTTATAATAGAAAGGTCAGTTTCCAGTAAAATTGATATTGATAAAAAGATACAAGGGGTGCAGACTCCTGAAGCAAGCACAAGTAAAGGGGCAACCTGTTCTATAAAACCACAGTCACAAAATGATTCCAATAATCCTTTGGCATCAAATTACGGCTTTACCATAAATGTTAATGTTAATATTAATAAGTAGGTAGATTGTAAGTTTGTAGCATTTTAGGTTATTTGTTGACTTATTACTGTTTCAAATTGGTTTTCTAATAAAAACTAGAAAAATAAACCAAACATTTGTCTTTTATGATTTCTATAAGTCACTAGTGGGTTATAAGTCATAACGTACATATCTTACTATACTTATGACTTATAACTCACTAGTGACTTATAGGCCACATTATTACTTTAAAACCAAAGAAATTATAGTATCATTATACAAATGTTGGATATTTTTTTTTGTTTTATATACACTTGCATTGACTTTTCACATTGCATAAAATAGTCTACAGCTACTACAATAAATATAAATTAAGTACTAATTTGCGGAAGCTCTTAGGAAAAGATCTTTTGTTATCCAAAAATCTCATAGTAATTTAGGGCAACCTTTTAATACTGATTTCATAAGAAAACTGAGTTTTTTAAACAACACGTTTTCACCGGCAAAACAGACCAATATCTTGGGTTGGTAATTAGTAATGTTCGTCTTTTTTCAAATTTAATATATTTTATTTTTAATTCTACAAATTGTCAATAGACTTAGTGATGTATTCTCCATCATATTTATGGCTTCCTCCCAACGTTCAACAAGTTTATCGATGCCTCTTCTGTAGAAATCCTGTTTTTGCTCGAAAAACTCATCCTCTTAATTCATTGTCGTTGTTAAAAGCAACACCGCGTAACGAGTTT